AGTAAAAGTACTCAGATCTTGTACTTGAGTAAAAGTAGAAGTACTCAGATCTTGTACTTGAGTAAAAGTAGAAGTACTCAGATCTTGTACTTAGTAAAAGTAGAAGTACTCAGATCTTGTTCTTGAGTAACAGNAAAGTATTCTCATCAAAATATAGTGAAAGTAGCGACAGTAAAAGTAGTCATTGTGCAGATTGGTCCATTTCAGAATAATATATATGATATGTTTTATAATGATTGATCATGAAAGTGTTCTCAAAGCTGGTAAAGGTGCAGCTAGTTTGAATGACTTTGTATACTGCAGGGTAGCTTGTGGATTTACTCCAGGTGGAACTAAAGAATGATTTAACACTTGATTATATTTCACATCATTCATCCACATCTGAGAAGTAACTAAAGGTATTAAATACATGCAGTGGAATAGAAGTACACTATTTACCTCTGAACTGTAGTGGAGTAAAAGTACACAGTAGCATAACATGGAAAGTACCTCAAAAATGTACTTAAGTGCAGTATGTGAGTAAATCTACTTAGTTACTTTACACCACTATATAGAAATGAACCTTTGTGCAGTAGCAGCATGAGGGAGCTTTTCAGATCAAACATATTTTTATTAAGTTTTCCCAATGCATCACTAAGGTTTTATACTACAACTTAAGGAACAGCACACACAATGGAAATAAGCGATCATTTAGCAATGGAGCATATACAAATAAGACAATAGTATGCACTGATTACAGTACAAGTCCTTCAGTATTGTACCTTAAGTACAGTGCTTGAGTAAATCCCCTCTGTCACTTTACACCACTGGTTGTATCTAGAGCTAGCTGAAGCTAACACTACTTTTAGCTGCGTAGGGATCAGCTAACCTCGATCATAACCTTAAACTCTATGAACTTGGCCAGAAGGAGAGTCATGTGGAAAGGTGCAGGGTACAGGGCAGCAGCTGAAGATCCTATAAATGGAAGCCGTATCTCAGCCGCCAAGGGGCGAAGAAAGCAGGATAAAACGGCTAACGTTATCTCAGTCAAACCGTTAGCATTTAGCTTACAACTCACCGCGGTTTAGTTAAAATCTTCTGTTCCCAGTGTCAGACTTTTCAACATCTTCGGTGTTTTGTAGTCTCGTTGATTTACGATTTATTAAACAATGCACTGCTGAATATAATATAACTGGTAAGAACTCGGGACGATTATAATGTGTTTTGGCGCAGTGCGCTCGCCCCTTCGCGAGCCCTGTTAGCAGTTAGCCGTTAGCTGTGTGTTTATTTTAAAATGTCTCCATCGGCCGTTCCCGTTCGTCTTCACAAAGATACATGCGCCACTTCCGGGCCTGACTCAGAGTACAGCGCCCCTACGGGTCGAGTGTTGCTACTGCAGACTTTCATTTTCTCAAGAGTCAAGATGCTTTTCTGTCATATTGTGTACACTGTGACTTCATGAATGTATAATAAGAACACTGTACACTAGCTACTGTGTACTTATGGCAATGTAAATCTATCCAAAGCGCCTCCTCCATTGCAACATACTTTACTTGAGTATTTCCATTTGATGCTTTGCTACTTTGCACTTCTACTCCACTACAATTCAGAGGTAAATGGTGTACTTTTACTCCACTACATGTATTTAATACCTTTAGTTACTTTACAGATCTGTAGGAATGATGTGGAATATATAGTATTCCTACACTTTGGTANTACTCCACTACATGTATTTAATACCTTTAGTTACTTTACAGATGTGGATGAATGATGTGAAATATAATCAAGTGTTAAATCAGACTTTAGTTCCACCTGGAGTAAATCCACAAGCTACCCTGCAGTATACAAAGTCATTCAAACTAGCTGCACCTTTACCAGCTTTAAGAACACTTTTCATGATCAATGATTATAAAACATATCATATATATTATTCTGAAATAGACCAATCTGCACAACGACTACTATTACTGTCGCTACTTTCACTATATTTTGATGAAAATACTTTTATACTTTCACTTGAGGAACATTTTGAATGCTTTTACTGTAACAGAGTATTCCTACACTCTGGTACTTCTACTTTTACTCAAGTACAAGATCTGAATACTTCTACTTTTACTCAAGTACAAGATCTGAGTACTTTTACTCAGGTACAAGATCTGAGTACTTCTACTTTTACTCAAGTACACTATCTGAATACTTCTACTTGCACTCAAGTACAAGATCTGAGTACTTCTACTTTTACTCAAGTACAAGATCTGAGTACTTCTACTTTTACTCAAGTACAAGATCTGAGTACTTCTACTTTTACTCAAGATAAAAGATCTGAGTACTTCTACTTTTAATCAAGTACAAGATCAGAGTATTTCTACTTTTACTCAAGTACAAGACCTGAATACTTCTACTTTTACTCAAGTACAAGATCTGAGTATTTCTACTTTCGATAGATAGATAGATAGATAGATAGGTAGATAGATAGATAGATAGGTAGATGGATAGTGGATAATGATCACACACGCAGCTAAAATATATGATGTTCATGTAGGACATTGAATAGATGAATACAAAATTAAAAAACGAAACAAATAAAACCGTTATGTCTGAATGTTCACAAAAAGGTATATAAAAAAAGAAAGAAAAAACGAGGACTTTAATTTGAAGTACTTCCGGTTCACTGTGACCTTTATCCAGTCTGCAGCTCCTCTCCGACATCCTTCTCTCTCCGGGGGCTCAGACTTCAGGACAACATGCTGACTGTTCGCGTCGCAGCGGCTCTGGCCCGCGCCCTGCCAAGAAGGGCTGGCTTTGTGAGCATCTCTTACTTCTTATTATATCAAAATCTGTGCCTAATTCATTACAAAAATACCGAATTGACTCTGATAAAAGTAAAAAGTCATGGCGGTCTGGAGGACACTGGGCCCTTCACTGAGCTAAACACCGCTAACGGTCTATGAGAAACACAATACCGTGTGTTAGTAACAGTATTTAGACAATAGCAATCTTTACAACAACGTTTTAATGCATTTTGAATAGATATGATTAAGTTAAATTGCAGGAATGACGCATGTATTTTGGAGGTCAGGTTTGTACCACTTTAGCTTGTTTAGCTTTCATGCTAACTTTCATTGAAAATGCATTTGATAGGCTACATTTCGCACAGTTGTGTATTTATTTAGGGTGACATTAAGCCTTATATGGTACTTTTCTGCTTATTTACGCTCAGTGGTGAAGAGTAACGAAGTAGCAGCTGTAAGGAAGATAATGCATTATATTAATAAGAGTAATTCGACCATACAATTAACCTTTAAACTAGGCGTTAATGCAGTTTAAATGGATATAACTAAGCTGAAGTGCAGGAATGACGCATATAGTTTGGAGGTCAGGTTAGCTTTCATGCCAACTTATTGAAAATGCACTTGCCAGGCTACATTTTGCACAGTTGTGTGTTTTATTAGGGTGGCTTTAAGGTGTTATTATACTGTTGTAGTTAATATATATACCGAGTGTGGAGGACTTTCTTCTGACCCTGAAAACTGTTTGACCTGTAGCCCTTCCTAAAATGTATTTATAAGTTGGAAGAAGTTGTAGAAAGAGACATTTGCTCATAGGTTTAAGCTACTAATGGCAATTTACAATGAAATATCAACAATAAAAATTACTTTTATCAACTCTCTCTGCTGTTTTTAAGCAAGGGCCAAGCATATGTTTTTTTTATTCTAAAACAAAGAAATACCTGGTGATCTCATTTAATGATGTTCTGATCTTCAAAATTGATAAAAATCCTTGTAAAAGCAGGAATTAGGACTAGGAGAATCATGGTTATTATATCAATATCGTGAGATGAAAGTAGATGGTGTCGCATATTTTGGATATTGTTTATTTCCTGGTTTGAAATTCTGCATTACAGAATATTTGTGAAATGGTTCTTTATTTAGTCATACGAACATAGCTACAGTGTAGTTATGCCGATGAAATTCTTAGGTCACAGGCTTCTCCAAATGTGACGCTTGTATAATATGTATTTCTGTCCTTGTTTCCATTGTCTTAAAGGTATCCAAGAATGTTGCTGCAGCGTGTGTTGGAGTCAACCATCTGCACACCACCCGCCCATGGATGGTGAAAACCGGTCAGTGTTTCATAAACATGCATTAGCTACTGCTTAAAGTGAGAAATCCCCCCAAAATTAAGATATACACATTGTTCCTGTTACCTGTAGTGCAAATCATCTCTAGATTATTCTGGTGTGAGTTGCCATGTGCTTGAGATATTGCCATATGGTAATCATATATTGTACCTTTTTAATTGAATAGCTAATTACCAGAGATGGCAAAAGTACACACATCCTTTACTCAAGTAGAAGCACAGATACTCGTGTTTAAAAATACTCTGGTGAAAATAGAAGTACTGACTAAACTTCTTTACTCAAGTCAAAGTAAAGAGGCTTTGAAATGTACTTCAGTAAAAAGTACCCATAACTAGCAGCTGTTTTAAAGAGTACCTGACCTCCCTTTATATTAATAGAACAATAATGTCATTGTTAGCTAATGAATGTTTCCATGCTGAACAACGGCAACATGACAACGTTTTCATTGGTCCCTCTTCTTTAGAGAAGACCAGGAAATGATGGATACATGGTAGGGATCGACCGATATGGCTTTTTCAAGGCCGATACCGATTATTAGTAATCAAGGAGACCGATAACCGATGTTTGGAACCAATATACATTTGCAGTAAAATCAGAAAATCTTGGTGTCTAAATGTAGAATAACAGAAACTCCAACACAACTTCTTTGAAATGCATTTAA